CTCTCTCTCTCTCTCTCTCTCTCTCACACACACACACAAACACACACACACACACACACTCGTCCAACTCAAACATGCACGCAATGAGACATGATATGCATATATATTTTTGGATTTCTTGTACAAAACGATGTGCAAAGTGGGGCGTGGAGTCGCCAGAATCCAAGTTTCCAATCACCCAGCTTTTTCATTGGATAGGTCCTACAACTTGCACACAACTGCACTCCTAGGATGAATTGCTCCCTTCTTTGTCCTACCTGCATGTGCCGACCATCTTCCGTTCGTTGTTTTTTTCCTATTCGTCTTCTGTGCATGTGCTGCACTCCTATCTTCAAACCTATCATGCATGATATTCGCTACCTTCACTACTCGCCGCAATTCACGTCTAAGTTCCTCATGCTCGGCGAAGTCTCTCATCTCGCGAAACCAAGACCTCATGGCCTTGCCAACTACAAGTTGCTGTTCTTCTTCAAATGCTCTCGCCTCGTGGCCGTCATCAGTGAGGAGGCGTGGTCCGTCGAGAGGAGAATCCTCGGCGACGGCCATTGCCACACGCACAGGCAGGGACATCCAGTGCTGTACCCCTTTCGCTGCGGCATCAAATGCAGCAGCACTCAGGGGTCCTACTCGACCGCCGGGCCGCCTCTTTGCCGGCGCAGCAGCAGCCTTTACCCCCCCCCCTCCTCCTCTCATGAGGGTGGTGGGTTTCTTCTTTGGCGGCGGAATTCCAGGACGGAACCCACCTTGATCCGTGTCGTAAGCAGCAAAGGCTTCGCTCGGTCTCATCAACAATGCAGGGGTTAAACTGTCGGGGCCATTAGATACCATACCCACCACTGAAGTGGTCAATGCAGCCACACCGGGGTGATAATGCTTGCTAAGCAGAGCCATTTCCCAGAGACACGTCGAGAGCGCTCCGCTTGATTCTGGATCGGCCGCCGCCGGGAAATACACAGCCGGTCCGCCAGCGACAGCGCCGCCGCAAGCATCGTTCTCGAGCAAATGCGCCCTACAGCGCGAGTTGCGCTGCAGAATGCGCTGCACTGTCACCAGAACGGACATCGTCTCGGCACTGCCCAGGTGCAAGCCGGTGGAAGCTAACCGCTTCGCGAATGACGCAGCCCGAAGCTGGTCGTGCTGCCTTCCCTCCCAAAGCAACGCCTCCATAGCTCGTACGAAAATTTCTCCCATATTTGAACCTACGGCCCGAGACACGGCGGGAAACTCCAGGAGCAGACGATAAAACCGCACGTAGATCTGCCTGAGATCTACGGTCAGAGCATTCAAGTTATTCTTCACGATTTGCATCGCGACCGTACAACACAGCAATTGCTCTTCAACGCCAAGCTTACCTCCTCCTCCTCCTCCTCCTCCTCCTCCTCCTCCTCCTCCTCCTCCTCCTCCTCCTCCTCCTCCTCTTCCTCCTCCTCCTCTTGCTGCTTCTATGTCACCCTCCTTGGTGTTGCTATCATCCTCATCCACGCCCATAGCCAGCCTTCTCAGAATGACAAGCAGATCGCCCATGAAGTCCACGCTTATAAGGGATGAGAACTTCGCCAGACCTCGTAATGAGGCTATCAAGAGCGGTCGCGGACCCAATCGGCGTCCAACTACCGGTCCTTCTGTTCGAAGAGGAGCAGGTGGTGGAGGACCCCTCCTTCCTGCACGCCGAGATGCAGCAGCAGCATTAGCAGCAGCTCCCCCGGACAGAGCCGACTTCAAAACCCTAAAATACGTTTCGAAGACGGCCGACAAAATCCGAGTTTGAATTCGCCGCCTCTCTTCCCTGGACATAACCGCCTCCGCCTCCCTGAACTCTTGCGCCACTTGCGTCGTCAATTCTTCTGCCAACTTCTGTTTCTCTATCTTCCCCTCGGTCAGCACCTTCTTCTTCCCCTTCTTCTTCCCTTGCTTGTCAGCCCTCTTCTTGTCATACCTGTTCTTGTCGTCGCCCTCCTCGTCTTCTGTGGCACGAAGATCTTCGTCGAAGCTAAGCACCTCAAACACTTCAACGACCTCCGGCTGCAGCTGGCAATTCTGTTGCCTGACGAAATCGGCAATCAGCTCTACCGCCTCCATGCTAACTTCTCCGTTGTGCTTCCCCTCATTTTTGAAGACGTCCTTCAAGGCGCGGCAACACATAGATCGACACTCGCTGTCGACGCTATCCATGGCAGGAATCACAGCGCGCACCAAGGTGTCAGAAAGATTGAAATGTGGAACAGCTGTCAATAGCACACACAGGCAGCGATACGCAGCGCGGCGAAGTGGCAGTTCTGAGTGTATCGTCGTCCTCTTCACGGCAACGTTGACAAACCTTTCGTACGTTTTAAGTAAGGTGGATTCGTAATCCCGAAGCTTCTGCACCTCTTTCGACACTTTGACTGCCAATTCTTCCTCCGTTGGCATTCGGATGCGATAACCAGGAATGATATCTTTAAAGATGGCCGCGACGGAGAGCATCGATAGTTGCTGGACCGCCAGATCGGAATCCCCGCAGAGGTCGAGCAGCTCTTTCACCAGAGCGATCCTTCCCTCCGGATTAGCGAGGATAGCAGTAGCGATTTCCGCAATCCGTGTTCTCAAACACTCTCTCCTCTCCTGAGTGGAGGCGATCATCTTAACGGCTTCCAGATCTTCTCGTCGAGCTGCCGCCATGCGAATCTCTAGCTTCTTCGCTTCTCTCTCGCTCTTTAATTCATTCCTTTTCAACTCCTTCTGTTGCCGCCTTAACATTTTCCGGGACATCTTCTTGCCTCCAATCTCGCCTTCCTTACCCTTTCCTTTCGTACCGCCGCGCCCTTTCTCCTCATCATCACCATCATCACCATCACCATCATCGTCATCATCGTCATCAGAGGAGGAGGAGGAGGAGGAGGAGGGAGAATCTGCTTCGTTCCCTGTCTGGTCCTCGTATTCCCTCTCCTTCTCCTCCTCCTCTTCATCTTCGCTTGAAAGCTTGTTCTTTTCTGACGCCACTTTTGCTGCCGCCGGAATCCTTTTTCTGGCGTTTGTACCCTTTGCCCTGACAATTGATCTTCTTTCTTCTTCCGTGAGAGCAGAGCGTCTCTCACCATCGCCATCACTCTCGCCATCGCCAGCTTTCTGCGAGCTTCCGCGTTCATCAGTTTCGTACATTCGGAGCATGAGCTTGCCATCTAGACTCTTCACCGGCAGCGCATCCACCCTTTCAGCACTTGCGTCCTTCCTCTTCTTTCTTGCGTTCCCTACCTTCCTTTTATCGCCGCTGCCATCAGGATCGGTAGCATTCTCGTCGTCCTCTTCCTCCTCCTCCCCCTCCTCCTCCTCCCCCTCCTCCTCCTCCCCCTCCCTTTCCTCCTCCCGCTGCCGTGCCTTTATCTTCTGTTGTCGCCGTTCGTAATTGACCTCCATCGCGTCTTTCAACCCCATGACTTGTTTATCGATCTTCTTGGGGTCCAGATTAGCGAGGAAACCCGCAAACTTACGATTTGATAAGACAAACCTGACATCTTCGTCAGACACATCGCCATCATCATCGTCGCGCTCCAAATCCGGAGGCAGAGGGGGGGCAGCGCTCTCCTGTCGCTTTCGTCGTTTTCGCTGCTGCTTCATCCGTGAGCCGCCCGGATTCGATCGTCTTCCTCTCTCCCCCATAATGACCAATCACCCTAGACGCGCTTCGTCACTTCGCCTTCGCCCCTTCTCTCTCTCTCTCTCTCTCTCTCTCTCTCTCTCTCTCTCTCTCTCTCTCTCTCTCTCTCTGTGTGTGTGTGTGTGTGTGTGTGTGTGCTGCTGTTTCAAGTTCTTTCCTCACTCTGCCCTCCCTCACCGCCGTCTCGACACGTGTCTCTTCTCCTCCCTCCTCTTCCCCCTTCTTCCTTCTCTTCCTCACTCTCTTTTGCATACACCACCTCTCTTCCTCACTCTCTTTTTTGCACACACCACCTCTCTTCCTCTCGACTCCTGTCAGGTTCTACTTACCAGGCATTCCCTATGCCCAGCCAGCCGTGATCCGACCAGTCTAAGCCGTGACATAGGCTCTGCTATCGATCGCGATTCTGCCATTCCGATCTGTGAATCGAGATCTCTGCGAATCGAAGTCCAGACGTTTGTCTCCTTTCAATTTAGCACTCCCACATCCCTCGTCTATTCTGCGGGCCGTCAGTCCGGTTGCTTATCACCGGCACGAATCAGGATAGGTAAGAGATGACAAGGCAAGGGCAAGTCGCCAGGGAAGGAAACAAAAAAGCAAGGAAAAATCAGCACATCGAAAAAGAAAAAGAGATATGTGGCACACCTCCTAGGGTCTAGACTCGTCTAGAGTGCGAACGGACTGGGTGAAGTCCGGGCATTTCGTTCACTCACACGGTGGCACATTTGACCAGACGACGCCTACATGGGGAGCCGCCAATCGAAATCCGTAGGCTGTATTGAGTCCATTCATCAGCTTCAACCAGCTTCAACCAGCTTCAACCATTCCTTCGGTCAATTGAATTCAACAATGATAGATCGAACTGGCGGCGCTACTGGAACCTCCAAGCAGACGGCCAAACGGTACGCGCGGGGCGGCATCAGGTGCTTCGTTCCACGGCGCCCTGGCTGCGGAACGAGCAGCCGGCGCCGAGGACCCCCCAGTGTGTCGGGAGCATAACAACAGGATCGGTCCCTCCCCCCTCGCACAAGTAGGGATTCGTCGCACTACTCGCCATCCGCAAGATTTCGAATGCACGTGGACAACAATGGTGTCCACGTGCAATCAAAATGTTGGCGGAAGGCGAGTAGTGCGACGAGGCCATGATGTGGAGTGTGGAGGGAGTATTGAGGGCATCGCGAGACCACTCCCGAAATGTGCAAAATGAGAATGAACGTTCCGCTAGAACACGGCCAGATGCGCCCGTCACAGTGTTGTGTTTTTCACATTTCAGAGAGCGGTGTGGCGAGGCCCTGACACTGGTGCCTGGGGTCGCGCTTCACCGCAGGGGCGAAGTTGTGGGACGAGGGACGCTCTACAGCGCACGGAGAACCAACACATGACCCGAATACCGGTAGACGATCCAAATACCGGTAGCAGCTCTCGCGATGATCTAAATACCGGTAGCCGGAGGTATTTCCTCGCCTGTAGACGGTCAACCACGTGGCGAGCTTCTTTTCGCGGCCACAAAAACCCTGCGCTGCCCTCGTGGAGGGAATTTCCGTCAAGGTGAAAATCACCGATCTTATGGTCGAATTGGGACCAGGGCCCGGAGACCAGGTCCCACTGTAGCGGCGAGATTTCGAGTATTAGGGCCCGGGGACCAGGGCCCACTAGCAGCGAGATTTCGAGTATTATCTTCTGCGGGGCAGATCTGACCGTCCTAAGCCACCAGCTCTTGAAAACAGCACAATCCTGCTGTCACAGTCTTTTCCCCTAAAGATGTGTTCCAAAACCGTCACTCACAAACAAGCCTAGCTCAGTTGGTACACCGATGAACTGTTGAAATAGGAATTCGAATCCCGATGCATTCAGATGCACAAATTACCCGTCTTCGCCCAAATAGAATGGCCGGTCATTATTGCTGCATCTGGTCCAAAAGCTCCCTAAAGTACAGCTATTATGACGGGGCGTCCTATTGGGGTGAAGGCAGTAGGTTTCCCAGCCACAGTTTCCCAGCCATTTTTGGCCTCACACGTGCCCCGAGTTTCAGGGGTCGGCCTGGCGGCGCCAAAAGGCGGCCTGCGGCAGTTCTTTGTTTTTGGCGTGCACTGCGTTTTGAGGCTCCCCAAGGGAAGGGTCAAACGTGCTGGTGGTAAACGAATACAAGTCACAGATTATGTCTCATTTGTTAGAACCACAAGTTCTGACAAAGGAACACATGCATTTTGCAGAGCCTAAACGTGACCGGTACGGGGCCTCCCGCAACTTCCGCAACTGAGGCCGCAGGAGGACGGAGTTGTGCCAATGATGCGCTATGCAACTTGTGCCTCTGCTGTTCGAAACAACAGTGCTATTGTCGTTGGCGCTCGTGCGGGTTCTCGATGCAGGGGTTTGAGCGGCGTCATGTTCGTCAATTCCTAGGCTTGGTCAACATCCTCAGCCTCGATAAGGGATCTCCCTGTGGAATACTAGGGAGCAGGATGTTTCCATCTCTCCTGATGCTTCCATCGGCCAAAGGAATGATGATCTTGGCAAGAACTATACCTATACCATACCTCCTTTGTGGGGTGAATACATCGTCAAACATCTAGGGGTTTGTGAATCTATTAGCACAGAGGCAGGAATCTAGTGCAGTGCAAACTAACGCCCTTATCAGTGGCATTCTCAGAGACTGTGGGAAGGGACCCGGAATCGGTGGGACTGATTGGTGATAGTTCAAGAGCTAAGCTTTAAGGTTACTGCCCACTAACATGAACTTAGAGGTATGGAGTTCTACTCCGAAGCTCAACGACTGAGAAATTATAACCAAAATTGTTTGAATAGTGAGAGCGTGAGTCATGTCAAGCTATACTTCGAAGACAGTTTATTGGACATTCTGCTATCATGATGGGACAAACCTCATTGCTTCTAGGGTAAAGGCACTAATTTTTGTGGACTTTCTTGATGGGACTCCATCGGCGAGATTGGCCGTTTATAGTTCGCTTCTATTTTTAAAGGTTGGATCCTGTTATCTGTGGGAATGTTTTTGTATGTTTGTGGTGATGATATTGATGTATTATCCGATGTTGTGGATTGCCTCCGGATTTACGTGTTTCCTTCACATAACACATGTACTTGGTTGTGAATATAAACTTAGCTTCATCCATATTTTATCATTTGCCAAAGGGCGAGAAACTCAACGCACCGCATTATAATTCTAGTTGAAATTTACCATGGTTTTAACTATGCACTAGAAACCACTACTTCCATCAAACCTTCGTTTTGATGTTAGTTGAAGACTCTAGAGCATTATATCTCGTCTTCGTGATATGATCTCCGGATTTCAAAGCTAAAATTGTGAATGGCACGAATACAAATGAATTTACAACATGTAGATTTGGGGCGAGGTTTAATTTCAAGACGTGTTCTACATTCGATCACGTATATGGGGAAGGTTCACAGAAACATCCTCAACATCCCCACGGTTTATGACCCTTATATCATGGTCGTCGTCGCATTGGACTTGGATGATTGGTTAGTGGTATTTAGGCAAGATTCATCACGCCTTCTTTTGGATTTTTTGTATAACGTTCTTGCGGTGGCAATAGTAGGGTACTGTTGGTCGTTGTAGATCCCTTAATAAAAAAAACTAACTAAGCGCCAATAGTGCGGACGGTGCGGGTCACGCCCGCAAAAATAAGAGTAACTGGCTACAAAGTCCGAGTTTGATTCAAGAATTAAAAAAAATAACAAATAGAAAAAGGAAAAAAAAAGTAAGAGAAAGGGCGAGGAGAGACAGAGATAGACAAAAAAAAAAAAAAAAAAAAAAAAAAAAAAAAATAGATAAAAAAAAAAAGATAGAGATAGATAGATAGATAGATAGATAGATAGATAGATAGATAGATAGAGAGAGAGAGAGAGAGAGAGAGGAGCAACGAAAGAGCAAAGAACAAAAAAAAACGAACACGAGTAAAAAAAGAAAAAAAAATTGATATGAAGATTTTTCGTTTCATTTAAGTAATCAAGTGGCCGCAGTATGATCAAGGCACAATTATTGCGCAGTGAAATCAATATTGACTTAAAAAAGCGGAATAATATTACGTCATTTTTTTATTTTTTTATTTTTTTATTTTTTTCGTCTCTCTCTCTCCTTATTTATTTGTCTTTCCTTTCCCATCTCTCTTGTAGGGGCAATTACATAACTGAAACCGAAGACGACCATCTAGGAATTTGTCATTAAGGCAACGCCTGGACAACCGCCCAATCAACATCTTTGTCTTCCTATCTCTCTTATAAGACCAATCAACTTCCTTCACTGGAACGATAGTCTTGCAACACCTCACGAAAAGAAACTCGTTGCAACACTTTGCGACGATACTCCTCAAAAGTTCTGAATCAAGTTTGTCTTTGCCGATTGTAATCGAGATGAATTGCAGCATCTACACATCTTCAAGTGTTCATACTCGTATTCAATTTCGCTGCTGCTTCCACAATATCTTGCACCCTGTGAGAACTGTCAAAATAGGACAGGTGCGCAAGTGTCTTTTTCGGACAAATTCAACAGAGTCATACATGGTAATGTTAAAATTAGAAGAACTTGGTTGTTCCAATGGTCTTGTATGGATATGTAGATGGTCTTTTGATGACGTATGAGCGGGCACAACACAACTGACAGGAGACGGAGTAGTCGTAGCGGCCGGCAAAGCAGAAACAACAACAGAAGTAGTGACAATCGGCGTTGACATATTGGACGGTGAAGCATAATCCGCAAGACGTTGAAATTTTGGAGGAGATGCTGCTTTAAGGGAGAGTCTACGGACCGGAGCGGAATGAGGAGTGAAAGAAGCAATCACAGGATGAATCATTTTGAAAAGCTGCTGTATACGTGCATATCTGTGAAAGGGTTGGAGAATGGTCCCTTCTGTCGGACAATGTGACAAATCTAATGTCATCCTAGTAATCTCCTCGTTAAAGAGAGTCAGGAACTCATCGGTCAAAAGTGATTGCAATATGGAAGAAGCCTCCAAATCCGAAACATTCAACGGGTCTGAAGGAAGAGGGAATCGTCATTGCAACCATATATCAGTGAGTTTGTTGTTTTTCCATCCAAGGAAGTTTTTTCATATTCGTGCATCTTTTACGACTGTGGCACTTTTGACAAACATTTCAAAAAACACCTCAGTCAAGACATTTTGGATGCTAATCTTCTTCGTATCGTCAAACCATCTAGCAAGGTAAGTGCGCGGATTCGGAGTGCACATTGTGGGTGAATCGTTATCATCGGGCACCACAATAACCCCCGAAGGATTTTGTGGTTGTGATGTGGCGCAAACATCTCTTTCGCGTCCACTGCATTGAGATTGCGAAGACGAATCATGAACACGTGCACGTCCAGCGAGCGATGCACAAAACAGAAGAGATGCAAGTGCATCATCAGGGAGCGCATTCAACGCTCTCATAATATGAGTTCCCGTTTCATCAACAACAGGTTGCTGTCCCACCTGATTATGAGCCAAGGTAGGCTCCAACACTTCTTTTCTTCTTGAAAGTATATTCATCATGGTCATAGCTAAGCATTAGATATCATAATTTTAAGTAACCTTTTTATTTTGATGTTAGGCTATTTGCCCGCCTGGGCAGGTATGCCCGGCCCGGCACAAGGCCCAAGGTTCGCCTAGGTAACCC